ATATATGTGTTACTGTTATAGTAATGATTATATGTAGTTTTTTTTTTTTATATAGCATCACTATTATTAATATGTTTGTGTAAATACTGTTTAATTTGTATGCGTTTGTACTATTTAGTTTTATCATGGGCTCATAATCAACAAAATATGTGCGCTCTCGTAGTTAAACACACACAAACATCAAAAGTCAGACAGACAGAAAGAAAGAAAGAAAGGAATAAAGAAAGAAAGAACAAAAAAAATCAGTGCAGTCTATAGAAGTGAAACGAAAAGCGGCGACAAATCGTTTGCCGATGAAGAAAATGGAGTGTTGTAAGCCACGTTGGTCCGAGTCTACTCGCTTTATTTATCTATCTACTCTCGCCTATTGGGGTAGAGTCACCCTTCCACATGCACTTCGGGTATCACATGCTTGCACGAAGGCACGACGACACGCACCCAGCAAGCCAAGTTGGTGGGTGAATGTAAGCGAAGGCCAGAAGAAAACAAGCGATAATATAAACAGACAGAGTTAGGCACACAAGCAAGAAGACCTACTAGTCATTTCTAGTTCCTACATAGGATTATATACGATTATATACAAGCGAGTAACGAAAGAAAGACTTAACGTATCTGGAGTGTCCAGTACTCGTTTTATGAACGTGTGTTAATAGTAAATATACATATTTATGTGAATTCTATCTAGCAAGAGGGGTGACGAGGAATTAAAAAGGGATTCGCAGAAGAGCGGGATTTCACTGATGTGTCTAAAAGAGTTCGGGTAACAAGGAAGGATGAGATATAGACCAAGTTATGTTTTCTTCGTAGGAGTCATTCTGATATCATTCCTACAAGGTAAGTCAGTTTGATAAGCTTTAAGTCGAATCTGTGTGGCACTTTAATGTTTGCAGCGGAACTCGAATACCCACACGATTTTTATTTGTCATTATTTTCAAGAATCTTTTCCTTTTTTTTTCTCTGTTGATTTTAGTAGCCGATAGACAGCAATCTGAAATGTTTTATTATTTTAATTTCATGTTACGCGCGCGTGTGTATATGTGTGTACGTTTAAAACTACACGAACGTGTGTGAGTGGGTTACGCATGTGTGTGTAAAAAAATATATATATGTGTGTGTGTGTGTGTGTGTGTGTGTGTGTGTGTGTGTGTGTGTGTGTGTGTGTGTGTGTGTGTGTGTGTGTGTGTGTGTGTGTGTGTGTGTATAGGCGAGATATTGTCTCTGTCACGGATATTCACTCGTATTTTCATTCCTCGTGCATTTGTTTTTAATCATCTCTCTCTTTCTCTTCCCCTTCTTCGCATTTCCCCTTTCTTTTTTTCTTTCTTGCTTTCTTCTGTCTCTTCGTTGTGTGCGCACGCGTGAGTGAGTGTGTGTGTGCGCGTGCGCGTGTGCGCTTTGTTTTTCATTCTTTCTATCATTCCTTTTCTTTCCCGATTTTGCCTCCTTCCTTACTGCAGTTTTCTTAAATTACATTCTCGCTCTATCTTTTTCTTTCTTTCTTTCTTTCTTTCTTTCTTTCTTTCTTTCTTTCTTTCTTTATTTCTTTATTTATTTTTGTATTCAGTATATCTTTCTGTCTTTTTTCTTTCTTTCTTTTTTTCTTTCTTTCTTTTCCGTATTCCCGTTTTTCTCTCCCTCTTTTACTTGTTTTGTGCGTGAGTGTGTGTGCATTTGTGTTTATGTTTGTCATTCCTTCCATCTTTTCCCGCTTTCTCTTTCCCCATTCCGACTTGCACCTACTTTCTTTCTTTCTTCTTTCTTTTTTTCTTTCTTTCTTTTTTCTTTCTTTCTTTCTTATCATATCAACATTTCTTTTTCTATTTATCTTTTTTCTTTCTTTCTTTCTGTTTATCATATCAGTATTTCCTTTTCTCTTTCTTTATTTTTTCTTTTCTTTCTTTCTTTTCATATCTCATCAAGATTTCTTTTTCTCGTTCTCTTCTTTCTTTCTCTTTTCTGTCCCTTCTTTCTCTTTGTTTGTTTCTTTCTTTTCCCATCAACGTTTTTCCCCTTTTATCTCTCTTCCCTGCTTTCATTCTACATTCTCATATAGTTTCTATTTATGTAATAATTCATTTTCTTCTTTCTCATCCATTGTCCATTGTCTCTGATTTCTTTCTTTCTTTCTCTTTTATTTCCGTTTTTCTTCCTTCCGTTTTGTTTATAGCCCATAGTATCATTTCCTTTTAACATTTTCTATTTAAAATTTAAATAATTTTCATGTAACTTTAATTTTTAGAGATCAAATTTATATTTTTTCACATTTCGCAATGTTCCTTGTTCAATTTCTTTCCGTTATTCTTCCTTTTATTTTTCTGTCTTCTATAAAGTTTTGATTAAAATAAATACAACTATCTTTTCAAAGGAAGGTAACATCTTTCTTTCCCAAATTTAGTTTACCAAATTCTCTTCCCACGCAGACGAACGCATTCCCAGACATTACTGCTGAGTTGAAATTTCAGAATTAAAAATAAAACATTTAATTTATTCAGATAAAATT